CTAACTAGCAACAGGGTCTTGCCAGCCAATGGAACTGTGTGATTACAAGCCAGGGGAATCCCATAAAAGAGGGCTCCCCTGGCCCAGAGAGCCAGTCCGGATTTACTTGATGCCTTGCCAATAAACCGAGAGCTGACTGTCACTCGACTCGTGTCTTACTGCCTGCGCGATCTAACAGTGGCAGATATTTCTCTCTCCTAAGGCGCAAAGAAAAAAGTTATGAACTTCTTGTGTGGTGTCAGGAAGGGCATTTGGCCAGTAAACGTTCAACTCCATCCAGTTGCCCCGACTCTACACCAAATTAAGGGATTATGGGGTTGTAAAAAGGGAGTTTTAACTAGACCAGTGCCTCTAAACCTCAGCAACTTGAAGATGTGTGGACTTCAACTCCCAAGTCCACATGTCTTCAAGTTGGCAAGGTTGAGAAAGACTAAACAGTGACAGTAAGGCACAGAGTATTCATTACTATATCTCTCCTTATATGAAGATTTCATTTAACAAAGAGACTCACAATATGACCTGGTGATATACAAACCCTCTCCATCAATCTTCTCCAACCTGATACCTCCAATACACTGTATGTTGCACCAATTCCCAGAAACCCAGCTGGAATATCTGGAGATGAACCATACAATACATTATAACTTCTTTACAAGGACTTGTGAATTACCTAAAGGCTGGCTGTTTTCAGACTTTATATAAACTGATGACACCAATAGCAATATGTGCTTTTCTTCAAAAAATTCACGTGTGCACCATCATGTCTCACTGAACACTAATTCTCCCTTTGCATTGCACTCTTATACCTTCACTGGATCAATGCTTGAAGCTCTTGTAATTCTTTGATTTGTATTGCTTGAGTCCTGAAATGCACATATATCGATATTTTTGGTTTCTTTCATCGTCTCCATCTTTGTTGCCTTTATTGATGCCTTGTGTATCATGCAGAAGAATAAGTTCCAGGTGATTACCTCACCATCACTCTCCACAGAAATTCTATAATCCCTGGATCATTGTTCTTT